TTTATATTTATATTATAGAGCAACTATGTTGAATTTGATTATTTTTGTGAAAATTCTAAAGATGGGATTTTAAAAAGAGGTCTATTACCAACATTGAGTGAATTTAATTATTAATTGAAATATGAATTAGATACTGGATTAACTAATAGAACTATTATACCAATAGAAGAATTAGAAGCAGTTTATTTATGTTCAGAAGTAATAAGTTCATTATGTGATTAAATGTAATAAGATATTATGGATCAGATAAATAAATTAGATAAAATTTTGGATGTAATAGTATTAAATAATATGTAGTGGTTGTTAACATCTTCATTTATATTGCTAGTTTTAGGATCCTTTTTAATTTATTTTAGGTTTTATTCGAAAATGAGAAGTAAATTAAAATATGTGAAAAAGATTATCTAAATTTTTCCATAAGATTCAATTTTTTTGAATGATCATTTGGAAAGAGATCTCAGAAAAATGTTATTATTAGATTAAATAACTTGAATAGTTTAATTAATTATTATATTATATTTAGTGTTTAATTATAATTGATACTATATTTGATAATTAAAATCCTTAAATATTTACATAATAAATAATTAAAGGATTTGTAATTGATATTATTCTATTTTAATTTACAAAATAAATTAATAAATATTATAAATCTTAAGTTATGATTACTTGTTTAATATCAAACTATTAATCTCCTAGTTATAATCATACATTTTTGAATAATAATTATAAATTATTTATTAGTTTATATTGAAATATATTGATAAAATATGTAATCATATTTTTAATTTTATCATTCTTTTCATTAAAATAATAACTGAATTTAGAAAACTGCAATTATTACATCAATTCTTTAGATTACATTTACTTTGATAGATAATTGTTTTTAATTAATTATTTTAAGATTACAAATAAATATATTTTTTTTCTTTGAAATTGTTAAAATTAAAAATTAAATTAATTTGAAATTCTAAGTTTATTTTATAGAAGGATATATTTACTAATAGCAGATTAGGCAGTAGAGGATAGTTAATTTTTATTATAATAAATTAAAAATTTCAATTATAATTATTTTTTTATAAATGGATGCTTAAATAGATCAATAAATGAAAATAAAGAAAGCTCATTTTATAAATTCAAGCATAAAAAGTAATATATAATTATTGTATATTAATAGCAAATATAAAGAAAGATTATAAATTCATCAAAGAAATAGGTGCTGGTGGTTTTGGTGTAGTTTTTGAAACTGAATAGAAATCAACAGGTATAACATTAATATTCATGAGGTATTAAAAGAGCAATAAAAGCAATTGCAAAAGATCGTGTTGTGGACAAGGAAAGTTTTAAGAATGAATTATCAATACTTAGAAAGATTGTAATTTTTAAAATTTGAGTAGAGGATCATCCAAATATACTAAAGATGTATGAGGTATATGAAACAGAGAAGACAGTCTATTTAGTAACAGAGTAAGACTAATAAGTATAATAGAATGTGTGAAGGTGGAGAATTATTTTACTACATAACAAAAACAAAACATTTGACTGAGATGTAAGCAGCAAAAATAATGAGATAAATATTTACAGCAGTAGCATATCTACATGAACATAAAATAGTTCATAGAGATTTAAAACCAGAGAATTTCTTATTAAAAAATAAAGATGATGAGTCTTCAATAAAATTAATTGATTTTGGATTGGCTAAAATTTATAGAGAGGATGAAATAATGACTTAACCAAATGGAAGTTTATTTTACATAGCTCCAGAAATTATTAAAGGATAATATTCATATGAAGTAGATTATTGGTCATTGGGAGTGATTTTATATGTGATGATGTGTGGATAGCCACCATTTCCAGGAAGGAATCCTTAAGAAACAATAAAGAGTATATAGAAAGGAATATTTACATTTTCAAAAGCTGGATTTAAAGGGGCAAGTGAAGAGGTAATTATATAAAATTGAGGAGAGGTTAGAGATTTGATTTAGAAATTGTTAGTGATGGAACCTAAAAGAAGATTTAGTGCTAAATAAGCTTATAATCATTCTTGGGTATAATAATAGGTTAGTAATGAATTAATGAATTTAAAATTACATGATGATGCAATAAGAGGATTAGAGAAAATGATTAATGCATAATAAATGAAGAAAACAATGTTATTATATTTAGCAACATTTATACCTGAGAATGAAGTAACTTCATTAAGATAATTATTTGTTTCTTTGGATAAAGATGGAAATGGTATGATTTCATTAGATGAGATGATAGAAGGATTAACTGGGTTTAAAAATATGAAACATAAAAATATGGATAAAAATTTCATTACTTAATTATTTAAGGCTATGGATATTGATTAAAGTGGATAAGTAGATTATAGTGAATTTATAGCAGCATTTTTGGTGTGTCCTCAATTTTAAAATGAAAGATTTATAGAGGAATAATTTAAAAGAATAGATTAAGATAATAGTGGAAGAATATCTAAATACGAATTGATGGATATTTTTCATACTGACACTATTTCAATAAAAGATATTGATATTGAAGAATTAATTAAATAAGCAGATCTAAATAAAGACGGGGAGGTATTAATCAGAGATTATAAATAGATTGATTATCAAGAATTCATGATTCTTTTAAGGGATAGATTTGCTGATTAGATAAAGCAATGACTATTTGATAAAGTTATTAATAATTATTATGAATCAATAGTTTTAGCAGAACTGTCAATTTTATTGTAGGTAATACGATTTCTTCACAGAATCGGATGATCATTTAGATAAGAGAAGAGCCAAACCAATCTAATCATTTGCTGATTATGTTCATGCACTTAAAGAGCCTAGATAAACAAAGATTCGTAGATAGCATACTGAAATAATATAAAAATCTCCAACACTTCCCAAGCTTGAACCTGTGATTCCAGAACTTCAAAAGATGAAAGAACATTTTGTTTTGAGTATGACCAAAAATATAGTTCCTTAACAATGTCCATGGAATCATCCAACAAGTCCTAGATGTAAGGTTCATATGCCATTGTCTGTAACACGTAAGTCAGTGAATTGTCAAAAGTAAATTAAATTGTCTCCAATCACATCTAAGAGTGCTTTTTGTATAAGATTGCCTTAAGAGGAAGATGATGGTATCTTTTTGACCAAGATAGGAGGAGAAGAGACTATAAGAGGAATAGCTAAACTATTTCATCAGTATTCTCAAAACCATCCAATAATTTAAAGTAATCAATCAAATAATGTATTAAGAAATTGATGATCCTTAAATGTATGAATTAAAATTTGCTACATTCTTAGAGTATATAATGGGTAAACCTGTGTTCTTTAACATTGAAGCTCTAAAATAAAAACATATTCCTATGCAAATCACTAATGAATAATACAACCAGTTTAAGAGTTATTTAATAGTAATTAATAAATTTAAATTTTAAGAGCAGTTTCATTAAATGCAATAAAGGTCCACCTGAATTAATATTTGAATTCAGTGCTTTAATAGAATAATATAAATATTGTATTATCACAACTGAATAAACTTTTGCTTAAATATTCAATAAAAAAACAGAGAATAACACTGAAGAGACACCAGAATCTATAGTAAATTTAGCAGATTAAACATATTAAAAGATACAAGAAGATCAAACTCTTTGTGAATATTTTATTGGAATACGAATGGATGAATAAGCTAAAAAATTAGGTAGAATAGTACATTAAATGATGGGATGGGATTGCAGTGTTGATTATGTATTGAATTACTTAAGAAAATCTCATTAAAATATGAATTTAACAAATGTACACTTTACATTATTCAAATCTTACCTTGTAGAATCTATGAAAGATATAGGATTGAAAGAAGATTAAATAGAATTGATAACTTAAAGAATGGATGGATATAGAAGTTGTATAGTAAATTAAGATTGTTTACTAGACTTTTATTTTTAATCATCTACTCTTTTCAAAGTTCAAGTTAAGAAATATGAATTACTTCTTTAAAAAGATCCAAGATTTCGTAATTTTCCTAATATTCCAGCATTATTAAGACATGCTCATTTTCTTTTAAAATATATCACTCATTAACATTAACCATTATTAACTAAGACTGATCTCAAAACCTTACATAAACACTGTATTATATAACATGAATGGATTGATGCTTTCAGAGATAATTTCTTTCATCTAATTAAAAGCTATACTCTAGATAGACTTATATTATAGGATTATGCAGATACATGGTTTTAACTTAGATATACTATAATGAATTAATGTACAATTGAAAGTGTAGTTGGTTAAAGTGTCATTGATTCAGTATAATTCAAAATCTAAATAAATCTTTAAGATAATGAAATTTATAGTGATCATTTTAGAAATGCAGATTATCAAATCAAATCTCATATAAAGAAAATAATTGCTTTCATTTTTAAGAACTCGTAAATCTATAAATCTAATGATTTAAGGGTTATACATTATCCACTTAAAATAACTGAATAAACTTTTAATTTATTTGTTTAATTAATCAAATAAGTTATGCAAGAAGAAAAAGTGCCTGCTAATCTAATTCTTCTTGCAGATTAGATTTGTCAATATTATAGAAATAGTATTTGCAATCTGTGAATATAATCTATTAATGTACTATATATTCATAAATCATATATTATTCATTATGTAAATGGTAATACTCCTCTTTGTCTAAGAATTGCCTCTAAAGCTGAAGCACTCTATCCCTTTTATCTCAAATATCCAGCCAAGATCACTGTGCTATTCTTTTTATTGTATACTCCATTTTCATCAACCTTAATTGTTATAAACAATCAATACTTATCCAACATTAATTTATACACTTGAGTAATCACTGCTATTCAGAATCATATTAGTATATTGGCATTTTCTGGGAACATAAATATCAACAACTTATTTTTCATCATTGATCATTCCTGCATTTTCTTGAATTCTGTGAGCCATATTATTAAAAAAGATTTAAATTTTTTTATATATTTAATTAATTCACAAAAGCTTAATCTGTACAGACAGAAGGATCAATGGATCTTGAGTTTCAAAATATAAATATTCAACTAATTCTTCATTTCTTAATATTGGACAATGAAAAACTGTTCCAATCTATAAATCTAATTTCTAAATTGGTATCAAATGTAAAACAGGTAAATCACTCTAAAATTCTAAATGTCCCAAAGCTTTCATCTTTTATGTCACTTCATTATATTTTGCACCCTGAACCTTTAAACCTTATATATAAACTCCATTATCTGGTTTCTTTTATATTTCTAAATGATGTTCTTTTAAAAATATCTACTTAAATACTATCTCATCTAAACTACAATTAACTTTTAATGCATAATCCAATTTTATTAAATTTAAAAAATGTTTAGGATTCTTAAAATAACTCAAATTATAATATTTTTAACTATTCCATTTAGAAAAGAATTAACCTTTTTCAAATATCTTATTAAGCCATAAACTAAATTATTTAATATTAACTTCACCTAATTCAAACCACTCTTCAGGTACTTAATCTAATTGTAATTTTTATATAATTTATTCAAGTCTTGTAGTTAATGATTCACCGTTTATATATTCAGATATTGCTTTAACATCATCTATTATCTTAATTATAAGTTAATTAAATTAATCTTTTTCTATTTAATAATATAAGTCATAAATTGATTCACTTTTTACTTCAGATAATTTAAGAGGAGTATATCTCTCCAACTTTTCCAATTATTCTAATATATTTTGATTATTCTTAACAGATCCTTACATCAATTAAATATTTTATTGTACTCTTTTCATTAGATCATTCTAAATGAGTATTTAAATGTTTGAATTCAATCCAATACAATTAAAATCATTAACTTATCCTAATTCTCTTAAATACTATAAATAACCTTATTTGTCTGATTTAATCATTTTTAATTCACCTCCCATATAAATGAAGCCTTCTCTTAAAGATTATTAACAAACAGTCTTATTGTATAGAGTATTAAATAAATCGAATTCATTTTCAGTTAATTAGCTTTAGTAAATTAGTTCTTTAGAAAAGTGTAATTAATCTGACAAAGCTAATTTTAAATCACTTTCATGAAATTAATGTTTACAATATCCATAGGCATTTCTCAAATTATAAATAGCTTAGAAAAGATTCAAACTAAAGAATTAAGGATGATCTAATTTATCTTCAGATTCTATTTAATCTGTAAGTAATGATATTATATTATTAGTCTATGAATATCCTACTTTGATTGTTCGATTGAGCCATGAAATAGGAAATGATTTACAATTTTTGGCTTATAATATCAATTTAAAATTAGGATGTGCTTAATTTTCTTCAAGAATTTATTCAACTAAACTTAGGAATTAAGTACCAAATTAACAATTTAAAAATTCAAGTGTGTAACCATTTTCTAATGAATCTCTTAATATTCTTTCAGCTTTAGAGTTTTATCCTTCTCCTAGAGTAACACTCAATTTACTATATGATTTACTATCATTAAAAATGAAAAGTGGAGTTTTGGAATCAAATTATATTTCATTAATATTAGTTTTAATGATTTGATATTTTAACTACAATTATTATTCTATAATATTAATCATCATGGGAATAACTTTATCTGGTCTAAAAGCAAGTGTTAATAACAATTTTTAGAAAGAAGTCAATTTTTATTATTCAATAGAAAATGTTTAGTGTAAGTATACTGACTTAAATTAATTTGGATAATCTTCAACAGTTTCTAATATGTTTTAGAATGCTTAGAGTTTATTTAGATAGTATAATTTAACTTTGATTGATGGCCATTCACTATCATCTATAAAGATACATGGATTACAACCTATTTTAAATTAAGGAGGTAATTATGGATTCTAACAACCTAAAAATGCATCTAATTCTTCTTTAGTAATTAAACCTTTTGTAATTAATATATCAAGAGAAATAGAGAAGCAAAATATTAATCGATCTTCTTCATTAAGTAATTGACTAACTTCATTGATAATTCCTTTATAAAATTATGCTTTAATTAATTAGATATTTAATGCAATATCATTCTATCTTTAAACTTTACTACTTTATTAAATAAGTTATTTAAGAAACCAATCTAAACTATATTAATAGATTGGATTCATTCTTTATAGATTTGAAATATTAATAAAGATTAATGATATTTATTATGCTAAAATCCTATATTAATCTCTACTTAGATCTATATCTTCATTAAGTCTTTTAGCCATATCAATTCTTTTAGTTGTTTCTTCATATAATTATTTAGAATTATGTAATTAATTGATCATAATTTCATTATTGAGTATATCTTCAATTGATTTTTAGTTTTATAGTGTGATTAATATTTAATTTTCAATTTCATTTAGTTATTTCTTATCTTGAATACATAGATCAAGATTATGTTATTTCTTTAATTCTAATGTTGGATTTTCAACTTCAATTAAACATTTAAGTAATTTTTCAACAAGAGCTTCTTATGTAATAGTATAATTAATGATCTAATAATTGATGTAAATCTGATCTTAAAATTTAGCATTCTATTCATGAGTAAAGTGAATCATCTTTGAATCATTATGTAATAATTCTATATTATCAGTAATATCAATATAAAAAGGTTATTTTAATTATATATGATTCTATATTTTTTTTAAATCACTCAATACTTTATAATGATATTTTTCTGTAAGATATTATCTACCTAAATTCTAAGGATCAATTAAAATCAAAGGTTTATATTAAAATTTAAGAATATTGGCATTTTCTTAAATAAAATTATCACTTTCCTCATTAAAATAATTATTTAAAGAACTCTTCTCTGAATATTTAACTTCAGCATCTTTTAAAACTTTATACAAGTAAGTATACAATTAATTTCTATCTTCTTTAACTAATGGTCCACCATAAATAATCAATGTTGTAGCTATTATACTATCACCTTCATTACGAGTTTATTCACCCTTTAATTAATATATTATATTTGTCCATCTCTTTTACTCCTCCTTAAATCCTTCAATCATTTTCAAAGATCTCTTTATTTTAGTTTGACATTCCTCTATTTACTATTCTAATTATATCTTAACATTTTATTTCTCCTTAACTTAAAATTCACATTATTCTAATTTTTAATTAATTTCTTAGACTTCCTTCTTCTTTTACTCTAAATTAAAGGTTTTCTCTTTCAAACTTCGATAACTCTCTTCTAATTCATCTCTTATAGGTTAAGTCTCCATATATACTTTATGATAATCATAAATAGCTCTAACCCAACTGTATAAATATTTAACTGCTAAACTACATTATTTAGCTCTTTCCAATGTAAAATCAGTATCATTAATAATTTTTGATTCTAATTATTATACCATATATTATTTTATCTAATCCTTATTATAATTTTTCAATAGATCTAACAATTCCTTTACATCATTCAATAAATATTTCTTTGCTATTTCAAAATAATCATCTTAATTTCCAGTATACTTGAAATGATCTTATAATAATATTACAGCTCCTCCAAGAATCACTTTAACTGCTCTAGTAGGTTAAACTAAAGACTTGATTTCAACTAAATGATCTTTTTTCAACTTTTAGACTTCTTATAGTGTCTATTCTAATTCTACATTAACTTTTGACACTCTCTATTTACATGTTTCTTACAATTAAGAAGCCTTGTTCTATTCCAATTCAGCAATCTATTCATCTTCTAAAACTTAATCTCTTATTGCCTATGATTTCTGTTATTCTTCTTAAAGTACTTTGACAAAATCTTAAGTATCTTTTACAGCTTATTCTAAAATAGGTCTGATTTGATTCAATTTATTATTCAATAAATTTATTTATTATTATGCAGAATACAATAATTATAATCCATTAGATAATTAATTTATTCTTATCTTTAATTGTTCATCTTTCTCTTTATACAATTTCTCTTATAATTCACTATATTTCACAAAAGATTAAGGTGAAATAGTATATTATTTTTTCTCTTTCATATATTTATAAATAATATTTCCAATCTCATTATTCTAAAAGGCATCTTCTGGCCAATCACCAAAATATAAAAATTAAAATTTATAAATGAAATTTGCTTTACTAATACACTTCTCTAAATATTCAGTAGTCATTATTAATATCACATTAATATTTTAATTAATCAATTAACTTATTTCCTTAATATTTGGATTATCCAAAATTAAAACTGAATTTTACATAATCTCACTATTCATATCAGTTATATAATTTAATTTTGTTATATTACAAGCCAATTTACAAATTGTCTTTTTACCTACTCCTAATGGACCATATAAGATAAGTTTGTTATTCGATGGAAAATTACTCATTAATTAGATTAAATATTTAAGGATATTTTTATTGGCTTAAAATTTAATTAAACCATCCATTTATAAATTGTTATGATCTTCTTACTAATCCTCAAATTTAAAAAGTTTTTATTAATTAACCCAAGTTATTTTTAAATCATCTTCATCTATCCTATTAAAAATGGATTACATTAAAAATTAAGTGGGATCATTCTTATTATTTTAGATTGATCTCCATATATCCCAACATGTTATTTGTAATCGTCTACAATTTTTAATAAAGAATTATTATGCATTTTTATAAATAGATATCAATTCTTCACTATTTTAAATTTAATTTTGTTAAAGTATTTAAAATATTGTTTAATGAGTATAAGATTCACAATAATAAGTTACAAAATATTTGAGAAATCTATTTTCTATAATATTTTAGGATGACATAATTAATTATAAATCAATTAATTTTACATTTTAATACCCATGATTATCAGTCAATTCTCTTAAAAATTCAATTGAATTATAATTTAATAAATGGATATCATCAATATATACTTTACCTATTGAATAAACACCATTTCTTTTTTTAATCAATTTACTTTATAAATAACTTTGAAGATCAGAACTTTTAGAATTCAAGTTCACTGTAAAAGGATTTTATAAATAATAACTCTTTCCAGATCCAGAATTTCCATACAATATTATATGTGGTATAAATTCTAATAATTTTGTAATATAAGTTCCTTTTTCACTTTATACTAATTCACCTCCATCAAGAATATATTCAAATAGATTATCATATGATAAAGGATCTACACTCTTATTCTCATCTTATTACCATATTTCTTTGATATGTCTATTGAGTAACATACGTAATTCTTCTGATAATGCAGATCCAAATGCCCAAGTAGCTGCAAATACAGCTTCAAATTCAGGTGTACTCTATCCTTAAATCTTTTTTAATATCTATTAATAAATATGTAATTATTATTTATTACTAATAGGATTTTTATACATACCAGCCAAACAACAATAATTTTAAGCATATTTTGGTATTTAAATTGCATTTCCACTTAAATATAAGTTAGATAGTTTAGTAACTACATTTGGTGATAAATTGGAAATAGTAGGAGTTTCAAAAATGATTTAATTATTTAATTGTAAAGATTTACCATTTGGAAATCTAATTTATTAGAATAAAATTAATGGAAGAAACAATTCAATTAATTTATCATCTAATTCACTATCTATAACTAAAATATTATTTCCAATTTTATTTAATATTTATGATATAATACCATCAGATTCGAAAGATCCAAAGAAATAATTTAATGGATAAGAAGATAAGTAAATTTTTTAATAATTAGATAGTTAACTAATTTATAAAGATTTACCTGTTAAAGATTCTCCAAATAATAATATATAACAATTATTAAGTAATAGATCTTTTAATTATGGTTTGATTTCCTCTTATTTTGGCCATATGGAATGAATTATATCTTAAAATTCTGGTTCTTAGAAATTTATTGATATGGCATTGTACATTCCATCAGTAATAGATTATTTAATAATTTATTTTATCTTAAACATAGAAATATCACACCTTTTTATTGATTGATAAAGATAAACAAATTATTTAAGTTATGTTATTGAATCATGTAATTCATATTCTTAACATAAAAAATCTATAAAAATAGATAAATCTATTTTCTAAAAATAGATAGGTCTAAAATAATATCTTATTTCAGAATTAATTGTATTTTTAGTACCACCAATTAAAAAGAAAGAGAAGGTTGGTTCAACTTTAATTGTGGAACCTTCTAATTCAATTTAATGAAGAGAATTACGTATGGCAAAGTATAATACTTTTACTAACTGAACAAATATGGATAATAAATCTAATTTCATCTAATTTACTAATTTAAACATACTTCAGAACATTTGGTCAAAGCAAAGAAGGATCCTGTTGCACTTACTCCTTTACAAAGATGAGTAAGAATTTAATAATTACTTAATTCTGCATTCATTACAATAAAGTACTTTCCTAAGCAATTACTAAATTGTTTAATTGTTTCTATTTTACCACTATTTCCATAAAGAAATGATCCAAATTAAGTACTTATAGCAAATGCCAAATTTGCATAACATCTATCAGTTTAAGGAGTTTCAATAAACAAATCACTATCCTAAAGAAATTCATAATCATATTAAAATTTATAATTGAGAAATTAAATAATAATCTCTTAGTTTTCATTTAAATAATATTTCAATTAAATTTGATATTCAAAACTATCAGGTGAAATTTATGATAAATGCTTATATTTGTAATTTCTTTTATTTTTATAATCTTTAAATTAATCATCTAAATGTTATGTCCACTCTATTTTTTCCATTAGAATTTTAATTTATTTACTTTTTGTAGATTTTAATATTTAATTTTTTAAAGTTTTTCTCATTACTTAAATTAGATCATGTAACCAATCTTCTACATTTTTGGAATAGATCTTAATAGTATCTATATTCAACCATTCAATTACTTTACCAAATTTATCTTATATTTATAATTAAATTATTCCATCTTCATCAATTTCAACTTTATTAAATAGAAATATTTAATCAATAAAATCATTAGGTTTTGTAGATTTACTTTAAATGAGTAAGATTTATTAATTAGATAGAAAATGAAATCTTTAAAATATTTCTCTCTTTTTATCAATATAATTACTTAATGATTTTTCTATCATTTATAATTTATGTATTTATTCTTCAATTTAATTAGATTTATACTTATATATCTATTATCCTGAGAATTCATTAGTTGACATTTTCCAAAATTTCTCTACACTCTTAAATCTAGTAACTTCAATAGGTAATTATTTTTATAAATCATTTTACAAAAATACTGGATGTATATATGAAAACAATTATTACATCTAATCAAATTATTAAACAATAGTTTATGTATATATCATTTAATTTTCTAATTAAGCTAATTCTTATTTCCAAGGATCATGATATTTAGATTACAAAATAATACTTAATGAACATAAAGAATCATCTAATTTTTATAATAATTAATCAAGATTAATTAATTTATTAAATTATAAATTTTGTAATTATACTCTAGGTTTAATAATCTAAGCAGTTAAATTATGAAAATCATTGCATAATTATAGATATGTCTACTCAATAATCAATTCTTATTTTGCAATTAAACTAATTTTTATTACTTATTTACAAATATCTTCATTAAAAAGATTTAATAAATCTTATAAAGGTTTACTTCCATAATCTACTTATTAATTAATTAAATTATTTAATTAATCCCAATGTCTTTGTCTCATTCCAGGTTCTGTTAATGCTAATATTAATGGTAAATGAGGACTAAATTCTTTTATTTCTAATAATAAACATTATGCTAATTATGTAATTGATGACATCTTCTTTTCATTTGAAAATACTAATATTTATTATAATTCAATTAAACTATTCTCTGTAAATTCCTAAATTTCTTTTGTATTTAATTCATTTATCTTCATTTACATCCAAGTATTATTATTCCATTATTTCATTAATCTTAATAAATTCTCTAAAGGTTATAATTATTAAATAATGAAATCTATTTTACCAAAATTACTCTATTATAAATTAAAAACTATTTCATATTAATTCATTAAAATTGCTTATTATTTAAGATCTAATAATTCTTTCATAAATGTCTAATCATTTTATTAATTCACACTAAAATTCTTAATAAAATTATTAATTTTTCTTTCTGAATCATCTATAGTATATTTGAAATGTAATAATTCTTATTAAAAATCATATTTTTATTAAATTCTCTTCTCCATTAATTCTTCTAAACTTTCATTTATCTATTATTTACACATATTAACATATGATATCAAATTCCATCTCTCTTTCATCTACTCAGATGAACTTATATATGATAATTCATCCAATGTTTCATATACCTTAAGAGTATTTTTAATATTCATTTCTAATTAATGAATATGATCATTAACTCCATGAATCAAAAAATTTCTATGATTTTCCAATCCAATTATATCATTATTCTATTTCTTAATCATTAACATAAGTTTTTAATATTATAAAGTAGTATCCTTTATTTAATTATTTGCTAAACTTGATATATATTCCATCATTTAATGGATATTTTTTTCTAAAAGTTAATTAATTTAAAATAATAGATGTGTATTATCAATTATAAAAATAGATACCCAATCAGTTGGAGCTATTTCCTTAGTTAATTATATCTATAAAGATGATAAATTTAATATCTATTATTTAAATAATTAAAGATCAAAAATATCATCATGAGTACTACAATCTTTTACAAAATCTTCTAATTTCCATTCAAAAATATATTAATATTTCATATACTTTTTTAAATGATCTATTAATTTATTATTTATTCTTTATACTGATAAATTTAATTCTTCAACAAAATCTTAAATTAATTAATCATTATATGAAATGCATTATAAATACATAAGATATGATATATTCATAATACATTCAGGATCTCTAATCTTACTCAATTCCAATAATTAATTAGCTAAACTATTACAATAAATATTTGTAATTTCTAATACATCAAATGAATATTAAAAACCACCAAAATATCCTACTGATATTTAAAATACACTCTATTTCTTTTTAAGAAAATTTAATCTAAAATTTCTAATATTATCAACTATTAATTTCTACAGAGATTCTAATTATTTTATTCTTATAACTTAAATTATTCTCTTTAAACGATTCTCCTATAAAATCACACCTCTCTATTCTAATTCTTAAAGACCATCCTTCATTATACTTTTTATTCTTTCACTCCATTTCGAGATAACCTTAAATTAGCGATTTGCTAATTGATCTTGCTTTTCTTTTAATTATAAAATGGAATAAGCTTTTTTATCCCAATAAAGTAATTCAAGTGAACATATATGATTGTTTAATTCATTTATATAGAAAAATGATTTAATCAACTCAGGTAAAACAAATAAAGATAATTCTTAGAATTTTTTCTTAACTATTTCAAATGATGTTTATTAATAATCAACAAAATCTCTATGAACTATCATTATTTCATTAAAATTTAATTAAATTTTACCAAATTCTGGTATCACATTTTTCTACACTTTAATAGCCAATTTGAAATTCAATACATCTTTATTATGTTTCAAATATTAATTTAATTACATTTCATTTTGAATTCTCTTATAATGAGCATTAATTTAAATAACATGTCCTTATTCAACTTTTCCTATCAATCTTTGAATTCTCTAAATCTTATCTATTGACAATTCAGGAATATCTTAAGTTTACATATTATCAATATAGTAATTATATCTTAATATACTATCCATTGCTTCTCGATCATTCAAAGCTTTCTCAAATTTTTATACATACATTTTAACATTTTCAAAATCACAAACAAAATAAAGTCTTGAAATTTCTCCAAATTAATCATTGCTCTAATAATTAAATAATTAAGTTTGATGATTATAATCAATGATCTTCCCTTCTATAAATTCATTCTGATTATTGAGAATGAATGCATTGATTGAACCAGATTTTTATATTTTCAAAAATAAATCCTCATTAGTAAATCTGTCAAAAGAACTATCTTCAAATAAATTTAATGGCAAATATGCAAATTTTTTAATTCTATTGCCCAGCTATTAAATATGAATTGTTGGTTTCAATTACTTTTTTATAGGAATACATTCATTAATTAAAGAAGAACTCAAATCAAAAGTGAAATGTTTAAGTTTCCTCTAAAAATATACCTCTTTACTAAATCTTTATGGTGTTCTTTAAGGAGTTTGATATCTAGTTGTCAATGATATAGGTCTTTATCGAGAACTTGGTCTCATTTATTAAAATATTTATATATATATATTGTTAAATGTTCATTTAATCTATATATATTCTTTAGTATAATTATGTATAATATATATATAATTATATTAAAGAGATGAATTCATTATGTTTTTGATAAGAATTATGAATTACATTAATAAAATGACATGAATTTTATAAATAAAAATAATATATAAATAATAATGAAGCCGAATACAAACAATAAAGCATTTAATAATGGATTTCGATAGAATTCAAGCAATAGTAATGTTGGTCTAATGATTGATCAATAAAATTCATTGAATTATTCTCATCGATTGGCTGAAGAAAGTTTGTAAATAGGTGAAGATGTATTGGAATCTTTTAAAAGACAAAATGATAGTCTAAAAGTATTTTTTATTTATCAAAATAGAGAATATAAAATAAAGTTAATTATACAATTGGTGATTTGGGATTATCATAAGGAATTATTAAGCTTATAGGATCAAGAGATTAATAAGATAGACGCATTGTCATATTTTTAACCATTTTATTATTTGCCTTTATAGGAACACTTTACTACGTGTTCAAATGATAAATTATGTTTTATAATTCTTTATAATTATTTAATAATATAGATAAAATTCATTAAAAATAAACATAAATTAATATTATTTAAACTCACTTAATTCAACAAAAAAATCAATTTATTCATAATAATTGAATTAATATTCAATCATAATTATTATAATATTTTATTTTTATAAATATGAATATATAAAGATTATTAATTCTTTAGTAAATACATTTTAAATATATGTAAATATGTATTAAAAAATAAAGATTTTTGTAATATAATTATTGATAAAAATTTACATAAATAATTTATATAATTTGGAACAAATTTAATTAATAAGAATAGAAACTATAAGAGAATTTAAATCTATTATATTATGATTACACTATATAAATGAAAAATAAGCATAAAACATTTAAATAGAAATATAATATAGCAAAGAATTAAAAAAAAGAAAATTCTATATTTTCTATATCACTTTATAAATAATACTATTTTATTAGAGAGATTGTAATTATAATAAATAATTTATAATGAAATACATCTTGTTTTAATTGATTTCTATATATGATAGTTTTATTTATATGATTTATATTAAAAAGATCTAATTTGGAGTTAATAAAAAGTTTAAAAATATAAAGAATATCTAAGAATAAGTTAGAATAGATAATAGATATTTTTTAATTCTTTTATCAGAGAAGTTATATATATATTAATAAATTATTAAATTAACATATTGATTATACTTAATATGATATACATATATGAATATATAATTATATTTTTATATGAAATCTAAAATTAAGGCAGGAAATAAATTAACTTTAGGTACTGAAACAGATCTAATCTTTAATGATGCAGATTTTTGTTCAAATTTAGCTGATCATTTTAAATAACCTAAAACTGTTAGAACAACTCATAAAAAAACAAAAACTGAATTATTTTATACAAAAACACCTAATACGGCATTGTATAAATTTCGATAAAATGGACAATTATTAACAAGTTCTTAGTTATCTCTTTCTCGTTGTCCATCATTGACGAAATCATAAAGGAAATTATAGGATAGAGAACTTAAGACAAAAAGTAATAATGTCAGTAAAGAATATTTGGAAATAAAAAAAAGTTAAACAGAATAGGATATAGTGCCTATTCAATTATTATTTGAATAGAATAGCTTTTTAGCAAGAAATCATGAATTTTTAATAGACAGTATAACAGAATTATCAGAATCTGTTAAAGTATAATTATTGAGTAATTAATATGAAATATAGAGATGGAAAGAGGAAAAGATGTAAAGTAATCTTGATAGTAAAATATTGTTTATATTTTACAATACATTATAATAATTAGATAAGAAAATAATTGGATCAATATTTAATCAATAATAGACACCAGCAGAGAATTTTAAATTAAAACATTTATCAGATACAATGGAAATGGTATCAGAAATGGTAACACTTATAATAAAACAGGTTTCAAGAATGGACATAAAATTGGCTACATTTATAGAATACTTTTGGAAATTTTGGGTTGTTTTAATAGATGTAGCAATGTAATGGATGGATAAAAGTTGTACAGATTATATAGAATATTAAATATCATAATTTAAATAACAATTTGAAGATGCAATATAATAAAAGAATATAACAGAAGATAAATTAATAAGAGCAGAAAAGGAATTTAAATTATAAGAATAATAATATTAAAGAAAATGTGATTCATTAGAAACTTAAATATTATCTATATAATAAGAATTTAATGAATATAAATAAGCAGTACTTTAAATGAGTGATTTAAAATAAGCAGAAAAAAGAATGAATGCAGTTGGTTTAAAATCATTAGAATTAGAAAATCTATTTAAATAATATGATCGATAATTATTTGATTATAAGAGTGATTTTTAAAAAGATTTTAAATAATTAGGATCAATATTGGTATAATAAAAGAAATTATAAGAAGATTTAAAATAACCTCATTAATATGCATAATCTATTCTTCATATTCCTTAATATGTTGAGAATAAGACTCTTTATGAACTATTTATTAATATGCATCCTTTCTGTTTGCATTTTAAAAAAATAGAATTACATGAATAAGATGATTAAAATGATTATGATAATTAGCTAATCTAATTTTTAGAGTATTTAACTTATTATGATGATTTAATGTAGAATGTATGTGTAATATTTAGAGAATGGGTAAATGACAATGATCGTCTCAATCGTATTATTAATCATCTATTAACTTAAAAAGATTATACATAACATTCTTTACATCATTTTTATTGTATTTTATTTGGATTGAAAAATAATTAGCAACTCTCTTGGATTTCAATAAGCAATCTCATCTGTTATTTTAAACAGTTGAAATAAGAATTACATTAATAATTAAATGAACCAATTTATTTAAAAGATTCTAATTATATTTTAGATTTAATTTTACCAGAAGAATTTATGGAAATAATTAAACATCATAAACTTGATTCAATAACAATATTAAGTTTATTAAATTTATTAGCTTAATTCATGTAATAAACAGAACATAAATTATGGAATAGATGGAAATTTCATTATAAAATAGATTCAGATGAATTTGATTAAAATAAATTGGATTATTTTATGTAACTTAAAATTTATTTGAATAAAGGAGACTTGAGTATATAATAAAGAAATGATTTTTTTGATTAAATTCGACATTTGTCCTTAATGTACCCTTGTTTATTTTATAAACATAAATAAATGATTTCAAAAATGTAGACTCAAGTTAGAAGAGTCTCTTAAAAACATGCAGCATAATAATAATAAAAGGAATCTAATACAAGACCATCGTAGATGAAGAGATAGTCAACCTATAATGGAATGATAAAATCTCAAGTTCTTAGAAAATGAATCTTATGATTTGTATATGATTATTCCATCATCCTAAACCATAATAAAATTATTCAGTAGTAGACTATTCTATAGAAAATAATTATATATAGAATATTATTAATTTACTTATCTAATAATTTATTTATTGTTATTTTTAAATATAATGTTGGTGGCCTTATTATTAATATTGATTGAAGTACATTCTAAATGTTCAGATAGATCGATAAATACATGTTTACAAGAAAATAATTGTTTTATTGTGAATAATTTATGTCAATCCAAATAAATCAATTGTCATGAATTAAATAAAAAAAATTGTTAAGAATCCCAATGTTATTTCAATGAATAACAATAAATTTGTGAAGTAAATTTTTGTAATATCAAAATAGTCTTAAAATATAAATAAGAACATTTAATATAGAATTCTAAATGGCAAAAAGAATGGTTGGAAAAAGGATAGATAATCAAAAAGATAAAAATTAAATGACTAAATTGAAGAAACTAGATAAATAAGTTATTCAGAATCAAATTATGATTCAGATTAAACTTAGAGTAATTTTGATTAGAATTCTGATATTCTTAATACCAATTTTGAAGAATAGAAAATAGATTATTCAAAATAAGATACTATTATTTTTGAAATAGAAGATCTAGAATTTTATTAAGAAGATTTTTTAGATTAGAAAGATGAATAAGAGTCTGGATTTTTTACTAGTTCATCCATTACTATAATAATAATACCTATTATGATGGTGTAATTATATATTTGATAATAATAATAATATGTTATTTACTTTCATATTGCTAGGATTTGTTAATTCTTCTTGCCTAACAAGAAATTTTGAGGAATGTTTGTCTTTGAATGTAGAATATTAAGAAAGTTGCTAATTATCTTAAGGTGAATGTAGACCAAGACCTGAAAAGTGTACTGAAATAGATGCAACATACCCTTTAAATTGTAGAACCAATGAATGTTACTACAGCAAACGATTCAATAAATGTTTAGTATATCTCTATACTAATATAGTCATAACCATTTACTCGTCTACTAAATGAGGTTGCTGATAGAGGAGACCATCATGATCATTAATAAGATTCCCATGATGGAATAGATCAATAAAGACCATAACCTACAGAATAGGGTCCATTACCTCCTCCTTATTAACCACCTTAAAATCCACCCTAATATCCTTTACCTCCTTAGTATATAGTTTATAATATATACAAGAAATGATTAATAAATAGAACAACCAATAGAAGAGGATAATAATGATAGTTTAGAAGATGATGAAGAAGATTCATATGAAGAAGAAGAAGAATAAGATATTAACTAAAATACTTCTGATGAGGATGAGTCTTGGAATGAACCAGAAGGTAATTATAAAAACTAAAAATAGTTCCCTCTTAACCAAATTCTACTAATACAACTAATTCAACAAATAATACTAATAATAATTCTAATAACAATAATTCAGATGGTTTTAATGATACATATGAAGGATTTTAAAATATAATTGAAGAGGAAATTAAATTCAAATTGAGTTAATCTGATGAGAATAAATAAATAGAAATAAAGAGTAGTGGAACAAATCATTTAATTATGGCATTTATCACTATGATTATTTGGATATGAATTATAAAATTTAATTTAAAAAACAATCACAATAACAATTATTATTAGATGTATTATATTTAATAATTTAAAAATTGTATTTACATTATATAATCTTATTAAATAATTATTTAAAATCGATAGACAATTCTTATTCAATTTTATGATACTATTAAAAACAAATAAAGTATGTATATATAAACTTAAAATGATCTTATATAATCAAGTACTATAATATTTAGATAAATTATATTGATTTTATTTATTACAATTATAATATATTATCATAATTCTTATTATTATTTTACTGCAATAATCAATTATTAATTGAATTTAACATTCTCTACACTAGTATCACTTTATGTTCTAGTATCATATCCCATAGGCATAATAAATGATTATTATCTGGATGAATCGAAATCCTCTAATTCTTCCTAAATTATAAATACATTGATTCGTCATTTGTAATTATAGTTCCTCTTTTTGATTACTCGAATAACAAAACGATTTTAAAATCTCAAGGACTTGTGGAGTCAATCCATAAACCAGAGAATTTATGAAACCTTAAAGACTCACAAAAGCAATTGCTACTTCCTTAAATGCAAAGGTCTTCCAATTAACATAATTTCATACACTATTTTCATCATATTTTTGGAATATATCAATCATTGTCCAAATTTGTGTAAGGAGGAAAGAAAGAGGATAGAGGAATAACTTATATGATTTCATCTATTAATATTCAAATAATTACTTACCTCTGTAACATTATACAAGAAGTTATATATTTTTATATAAAAATATATGATGTAGAACAGTATGCCAATACAAAGAACCAAATAATCTACTACCATCAAAGCAATACTGTCAGGCAATAACCAACACATTGAATAATTCAATCCATAAGCATCCCAAGCAAATGGATATGCACTCAATATAAATGGAATACCTATAATAATTAGATTTCTTTAAATTACCTATCGCAACAACATAAAATTTTAGAAGACCTGGCAATTCTTAATTATCAACAATTGTAGCACACATATTGTAAGCAAAAATTCCAATCCATATTATACTTGATTCACGACTGTAATTGACCAAAAATGCCTGGAATACACTATTTATGACATTACTTACCATAGTCCATTACTATCATCATTACTATTGATAATACTAGCTAGGGCAAATAGAGCATCAGCAATCTGGAGTTGTAGAACTAAACGAAATGTTGGTGTTCTCAATTCTTATATATAACGATTATAAATTACTTGGGTTTGATAAAAATAATACAGCAACAGTTGTACTACTGAATAATGAAATTGAAGAGCAAATTACTTTGATTTATATCAATTTATCCATTTATTTATTTGAATATATAAATTATCTATGTAAAGGAACTTATTATGTTCTATTATATATTAAAAAATAATGGTTAAAAAATATAATAATATAGTCACATCTATGATTGAATGATATTAAATGATAATTTTTAGACTATTTAAAACACGTTTCTTGTAAACAAATCATTTATATTAAATATCGAAAGTGATGTAATAAAAGGAATTCGAAGAAACTATAGAAGAAGTCAAAACCATAAAGGCAATCACACCAAAGGTAGTGTCAATGTGTAAATTTTATAATAGGAAATTAAAAAGATTGTACGACCATAGTTTGAAGCAAACCCAGAGTTGTTCTACCCAACCAAGGTTTTTGATAAATTTGGGTTTAGTAGATGCAAATGTCCAAAATGTGGTGCATATTTTTGGAGACATACAGATAAAAAGACTACATGTGGAGATTCAAAGTAATAGAAGAATTCAATAAATTTTTAGTTGTGAAGGAAAATATTCTTTTATTGGTGTAGGTACTGGTAAAGGGGCAAAAGGAAATAAAATAACATATGCTGATGCTTGGAATGGATTCAAGAAATCTTTAACAAGTGCAAGAGTACCATGCACAGCAATTGATAGATATCCAGTTGTGGCAAGATGGAGAAATGATGTTGATTATGTAGCAGCAGGAATCTATTGTTTCTAACCATTTTGTGTAACAGGTGAAATGGATCCACCAGCAAATCCATTAATTTGTCCATAATTTTGTGTTAGATTTAATGATCTAGACAATATTGGTTTAACAGGTAGACATTATTCAGGATTTATAATGCTTGGTATATAGACATTCAATTATCCTGATAAATATGTATTCTTTAAAGAAGAATGTGTTGAATTTAATTATAGATGGTTGACTGAAGAATTAGAAATTAATCCAGATGATATTACATTTATTGAGGATGTTTGGGCAGGTGGTGGAAATCTAGGTCCATCAGTAGAATACTTTGTAAATGGATTAGAAGTAGGAAATATGGTATTTATGTAATATAAATATTTCCATGATGGATCATATGAAGAATTACCTATTAAAATTATAGATACTGGAATTGGATTAGAACGTATACCTTGGTTAGTAAATGGTTCACCAACAAGTTATTTTGATGTATTTGCTGGAGCATTTGCATTTTTGGCATAAAAATTATAAGTTGAATATTCAAATGATGTTTGGAAAGCATTTGGACCATATAGTTGTTTATTGAATGTTGATGAGGTTGAAAATGTTGATAAGACATGGGAATTCATATCATCATAAATTGGATATGATGTTTAAACTATAAAGAGAGAAATTGAATAATTAAAAGATATGTATATCATTTTAGATCATACACGTACTGTTATGATGGTAGTAACTGATGGATCATTACCATCTAATGTTGGTGGTGGTTCTAATATTAGAAATATTATTAGAAGAGTATTTGCTGTTTTGAAGAAGAATAATTGGTGGGATAAATTAGGAATGGATGGATTATTATAATTATTTTAAGAACATAAAAATGATTTGGCTAAACTTTATGGTCCATTTGGTGAATATAAGAGTTTTGATTAAATTATTAAATAAGAATATGAAAGATGGGCTAAAACAGATGATGATAAGAAAGTTAAATTAGAAAAATTATTAAAATAAAAGAATAATTAATTAAGTATTGATGATTGGATATTTGCTATGAGTACACATGGCATACCAGCTGATACTATTAGTCAAATTAGTNCCAACCAAGGTTTTTGATAAATTTGGGTTTAGTAGATGCAAATGTCCAAAATGTGGTGCATATTTTTGGAGACATACAGATAAAAAGACTACATGTGGAGATTCAAAGTAATAGAAGAAATCAATAAATTTTTTAGTTGTGAAGGAAAATATTCTTTTATTGGTGTAGGTACTGGTAAAGGGGCAAAAGGAAATAAAATAACATATGCTGATGCTTGGAATGGATTCAAGAAATCTTTAACAAGTGCAAGAGTACCATGCACAGCAATTGATAGATATCCAGTTGTGGCAAGATGGAGAAATGATGTTGATTATGTAGCAGCAGGAATCTATTGTTTCTAACCATTTTGTGTAACAGGTGAAATGGATCCACCAGCAAATCCATTAATTTGTCCATAATTTTGTGTTAGATTTAATGATCTAGACAATATTGGTTTAACAGGTAGACATTATTCAGGATTTATAATGCTTGGTATATAGACATTCAATTATCCTGATAAATATGTATTCTTTAAAGAAGAATGTGTTGAATTTAATTATAGATGGTTGACTGAAGAATTAGAAATTAATCCAGATGATATTACATTTATTGAGGATGTTTGGGCAGGTGGTGGAAATCTAGGTCCATCAGTAGAATACTTTGTAAATGGATTAGAAGTAGGAAATATGGTATTTATGTAATATAAATATTTCCATGATGGATCATATGAAGAATTACCTATTAAAATTATAGATACTGGAATTGGATTAGAACGTATACCTTGGTTAGTAAATGGTTCACCAACAAGTTATTTTGATGTATTTGCTGGAGCATTTGCATTTTTGGCATAAAAATTATAAGTTGAATATTCAAATGATGTTTGGAAAGCATTTGGACCATATAGTTGTTTATTGAATGTTGATGAGGTTGAAAATGTTGATAAGACATGGGAATTTATATCATCATAAATTGGATATGATGTTTAAACTATAAAGAGAGAAATTGAATAATTAAAAGATATGTATATCATTTTAGATCATACACGTACTGTTATGATGGTAGTAACTGATGGATCATTACCATCTAATGTTGGTGGTGGTTCTAATATTAGAAATATTCATTAGAAGAGTATTTGCTGTTTTGAAGAAGAATAATTGGTGGGATAAATTAGGAATGGATGGATTATTATAATTATTTTAAGAACATAAAAATGATTTGGCTAAACTTTATGGTCCATTTGGTGAATATAAGAGTTTTGATTAAATTATTAAATAAGAATATGAAAGATGGGCAAAAACAGATGATGATAAGAAAGTTAAATTAGAAAAATTATTAAAATAAAAGAATAATTAATTAAGTATTGATGATTGGATATTTGCTATGAGTACACATGGAATACCAGCTGATACTATTAGTCAAATTAGTAAATTACCAATCCCTGGTAATTTATATGCTGAATTGGCAGATAGAGCAGCTAGAATTACTAAAGCACCTGAAGCTATTCTTTATAACACAGTACATATACCAGAAACTACTAATTTATATTATCAAACACCTAAAGATGGTAAATTCTAAGCTAAAATTGTTACTATATTTAGTAATGTTTAATAATAGAATCTTCCTAATATAGTGATTTTGAATTAATCTGCATTTTATCCATTTGGTGGTGGATAAGAAAATGATTAAGGTTGGTTAACTATTTAAGGAGAAAGATATTTTGTTAATAATGTTTAGAAAGTAGGAAAGGCTGTGTTACATATTTTAGAAAAACCATTACCAAATGCAGTTGATACTTATGTTGGTTTAGATGTTTAAGCTGAAATAGATTTAGATAGAAGATCTATTTTGAGAAATCATCATACAGCTACTCATATTGTATTCGCAGCATGTAGAAGAGTACTTGGACCTCATGTTTGGTAGAATGGTGCTCATAAGAGTGTACATAATGCACATCTTGATATTACTCATTTTGCACCTTTAACAAAGGAGTAAGAATAAGCAATAGAGAATGAAGTCAATAAAATAATATTATCTGCAAAGTAAATCAATAAAGGATTTATGAATAAAGCAGATGCAGAAAAAGAATATGGATTTAGATTATATTAAGGTGGTATTGTACCAGGAAATGAATTAAGAGTTGTTAATATAGATGGAATAGATGTTGAAGCTTGTTGTGGTACCCATTGTGATAGCACATCAGAAGTAGGATGGGTTAGAATTCTTAAAACTTAAAAATTATAAGATGGTGTTGTTAGACTTTATTATGTTGCTGGAGTTAAGACTATTGAAGTTTTAAATTCAGAGGGAGAGATGATTAATTCATTAGTTAAATTATGGTCAATATCTAAGAATTAATTGGTTGAAGAAGGTAGCAAGATATTCTAAGAGAAGAAACATTATGAATCTGCTTATAATGTATCATATCATTATAATAATTATATTAGTAACTTAAGGCTGAATTGATCAAATCATAAATGAAATATGTTATTGATGGTCCAAATTAAAGAACACTTATTCAATCAAATGAATAAAATCCAACTGCTTATTTCAGTGAAATTGGAAAGTATATCCAATAACTCAAAGATTCCAAGAAAGGTTTATTGTTTGTTGCTGACACTTTCATTTATGGAGCCTTTGGTGAGAATAATTTCAATGTAGAAGAGTTGAGTAAATAAATAGAGGAAGAAGGATAATAATTGAAAATGAATAAGTAGAATAAGATTAGTGTTAAAGATGGAAAGGTATAATAAATATAATTATAAATTAATAGAAAACTATCTAAGTTAATGATGTGTTAACATTCTCTATCTTAGGTAAATTCAATAAGAATAAAGCAACAAAGTATCTTAAAGAGCAAGGTTTTGCTTAATTTTGAGATAATATATATANTATTATCAAACACCTAAAGATGGTAAATTCTAAGCTAAAATTGTTACTATATTTAGTAATGTTTAATAATAGAATCTTCCTAATATAGTGATTTTGAATTAATCTGCATTTTATCCATTTGGTGGTGGATAAGAAAATGATTAAGGTTGGTTAACTATATAAGGAGAAAGATATTTTGTTAATAATGTTTAGAAAGTAGGAAAGGCTGTGTTACATATTTTAGAAAAACCATTACCAAATGCTGTTGATACTTATGTTGGTTTAGATGTTTAAGCTGAAATAGATTTAGATAGAAGATCTATTTTGAGAAATCATCATACAGCTACTCATATTGTATTCGCAGCATGTAGAAGAGTACTTGGACCTCATGTTTGGTAGAATGGTGCTCATAAGAGTGTACATAATGCACATCTTGATATTACTCATTTTGCACCTTTAACAAAGGAGTAAGAATAAGCAATAGAGAATGAAGTCAATAAAATAATATTATCTGCAAAGTAAATCAATAAAGGATTTATGAATAAAGCAGATGCAGAAAAAGAATATGGATTTAGATTATATTAAGGTGGTATTGTACCAGGAAATGAATTAAGAGTTGTTAATATAGATGGAATAGATGTTGAAGCTTGTTGTGGTACCCATTGTGATAGCACATCAGAAGTAGGATGGGTTAGAATTCTTAAAACTTAAAAATTATAAGATGGTGTTGTTAGACTTTATTATGTTGCTGGAGTTAAGACTATTGAAGTTTTAAATTCAGAAGGAGAGATGATTAATTCATTAGTTAAATTATGGTCAATTTCTAAGAACTAATTGGTTGAAGAAGGTAGTAAGATATTCTAAGAAAAGAAACATTATGAATCTGCTTATAATGTATCATATTTTTATTATAATTATATTAGTAACTTAAGGCTGAATTGATCAAATCATAAATGAAATATGTTATTGATGGTCCAAATTAAAGAACACTTATTTAATCAAATGAATAAAATCCAACTGCTTATTTCAGTGAAATTGGAAAGTATATTCAATAACTCAAAGATTCCAAGAAAGGTTTATTGTTTGTTGCTGACACTTTCATTTATGGAGCCTTTGGTGAAAATAATTTCAATGTAGAAGAGTTGAGTAAATAAATAGAGGAAGAAGGATAATAATTAAAAATGAATAAGTAGAATAAGATTAGTGTTAAAGATGGAAAGGTATAATAAATATAATTATAAATTAATAGAAAACTATCTAAGTTAATGATGTATTAACATTCTCTATCTTAGGTAAATTCAATAAGAATAAAGCAACAAAATATCTTAAAGAGCAAGGTTTTGCTTAATTTTGAGATAATATATATAAAGAAAGATAAATATAATCAAACATAATTTAATTTATATTTCTAATTTATAATAAATGACTCATTAATTTTGGAAACTAAAAAAAGATGTAAATGAGAAGGTGTTTTCTACATCCTCAATAAGAAATGAAATTTATTGTACTAAATCATCAATGTTAACATTTCACTCGTTTAGTTTGCTCTTAATGTTTAGATGAATTTTAATTAGATTATTAAAGACATGGAATTCAAGAATTATCTAAGGTATTTATAAAACATATTAATTAGATTGAATAATAATTGTGTAAAATATTCTTTCCTTTAATCAAAGATGAAAATGTAAAATAAATGATATTTGATTTCTATCAAACTGAATTCTTTACTATTTCAGATTAATATCAAAAATTGAGAGAAATCTGTAAGAATACTATAGATCTAATATAGAATTTAGTTAATAAATTAGATGTATTGATTTAATAAGTCAAACTAAAATAAATAGTATTTGTTTAACAAGTATAAATATATTTATATATATAGACTTTTCAATTTCATAAAATAAAAGATCTATTTACTGATTTAAATTAAGTTAAATCAAAAGATATTTAATCTATAATGTAATAAAAAGTGACTGATTATTTCAGATACATTAGAAAATTAACACCAGAATAAGTTCATATATAGATTCAATAATAAAAATAAGAAAATTCATCAGATATAGAATCTCTTTAAGTAGATGATATGATTACATCTTATTAAGCAATTATTACAGCAATGAGAGATTTAGAATTGAGAAAGGTTTCTAAAATACCAAAACCAGTTCATCAATAAGGTTGTGGTACCTTGTTATAAACATTAGAATAAATTATTAGCAAAAAGCAAAATGAATAACTAAAGGCAGAATTAGTTTATAATCATAAAGAAGATTATGAAAAAGTTTAATTTTGGACTAAATTATCAGGATAATCAAATACTCTTGTCATTTGTAAATAAAAGAATTCTTAATACTTTGGTGGTTATACTCCATCTTAATGGTAATATGGATTTCCTGGTAAAGATCCAAATTTAATAACTTTTTTATTTTAATGTTATGGATAAGAATTGAGAATACATACTATTAATAGAGAACTTAGATAAAGAGCAATAAATTGTGGAGTAAAATAAATGGAATTTGGATAAAAGAATTTGGTTATATCAACAGATTTTTAAAGAGTTGAAATGAAAATATTTCCAGGATTTTCTGAATAACCAGACAAATATCATGTTTGTTAAACTATTTCAGATGAATAAGATATATTTAAAGTATATTTGTTAAAAAAAATCTCTTGATAAATAATATCTATTAATTTTTGTTATTGTTTTTTTAACAAACTCATTTATTTAATGATGGTAATTGAACTTTCTATTTTTTACTATAATCTGTTTTTTCAGCTGTATTGAGATCAAGTGACATAATTTTCAATGCCATAGATTTTTCATAATTATCCTATACTTAACCTGCATTTGGACGTGTTAATAAATTATTTAAACTATTATATTAATTAATTATATATACGTGCTCTTAGACCATTTCTCTTAATATGTAGTTGTCCAATGTTAAGATGTAGCTAAATCAGATTAACGCATCTTAATAATTAATATTTATATACTTTGAGTTCATAATCTGTCTAATTTAATCGATTAATAAATGATTATTCATATTTATATTTAAGATCTCTATTTTAAACAGTGATTTTGATGAATCCAAAATCTATATTTAAATTATGACCTAATCTAGTTAGATCATGAATTGCCTTTATCAATGAATTATGTATACATTATACAACATCCTTACCTAAATAACTGATATTATAAATATAATTCATTACCAAGATGCAGCAATAGGACCAGCATTACAGAAATTCATTCCAAATCCTTTTTGATAAATGGAATGTTAACTCAATGGTTTTGTTATTTCCTCTTTTCCAGGATAACGAGCCAAAAAATATTTAAAAGAATTGTCAGGAACAAAACATGGTCTAGATCTATAATAATAATTATCTACCTTATCTAATGAACATGTTTTCTTTCTGCTCTTTAAATTCCCAAATCTTGAGTCATATTAAATCCTGAATGTTATAGTGGTTTAACATAATCTGAATTAACTTCCATTGTAAATGCTCCTAACTCTTTCATATTGACACCCTAAAGTTATCAATTTGTAATTTTACATTTCCATTTAACATTTTCTCTTTGATGTATTCTGCAGTAGCTTTAATCACTATATGAAATTAAGCTTTTGCTTCAAGTGGTTTATAAGATGCAATAGTTCTTGGTTAGGATTCTTGATGTTTTCCTGGATAATTTTGACTATGACTAAGGATCCTGTAATTTGAATGCATATATATACCAATTATAGATATCGTCAAGGTTCATGAAACTGATTTTTATGTATATTATATATTAATAATCATAAGAAATAATCTGGTACTCTTTTTGGAACAGATTCATTTTCAGATCTAGGTGCTGGATCAAATTGAATGCTATTCTAATAATGATTTATAAAGTACAATGTTTATCTTAGATTTTCATCAACTTCCATAATTCCAGCTTGATTACCACATCTATAACAGTAATTAGGTGCAGAGAATATAGTTACAACATTTCTATCGTGAGCTAATGAATAACCCTATGATTAAGTATGTTTATTATACATCCATAACTAATTGATGTGCTCTTGCAATCATCTTTAATTTGTTATTATGATTAAATTACTCAGAGATATCTTATCCAAAAGTATATCCAGCTCCTCTTGGAGATATTCCCCATCCAGATCTATCATCAGGATCACTCCATAATAAATCACACATAGGTCCTTCATGAGGTACTTCTTAAACTCTATCTAACTATCGAATATGATCCAAAGTGTCAATTGAAGGTGATATACCACCATGTAGACAGAAAAACTATTTGAATTAGATGATAAAATACTTGAGATTCAACAACTGCAGTTAAGGGTAAGTAATCAAAGAGTTCAGTAAAGTATTTCCATACATTACTATTACCATACTTTCTTGAACATTCATCATAGAAACCATAAACTTATGTTATTTATCTTGATTCATGATTTCCTCTTAAGATTGTAATTCTATCTCTATGACGAATCTAATTATTATGATATGTATAATACTTTCAATAATACAAGTAAAGTAACACATTCAACTGAATGATGTCCTCTATCTACATAATCACCCATGAATAAATAATTTGTATCCTTAATTGAAAATGATTCATTACTGGTGCTTTGCCACCTATTTTAAATAATTCCATTAGATCATGAAATTGACCATGAATGTCACCACATATAATCACTGGAGCTCTCACAGGTTATACATTTGATTCTTCGATTAAAATTTCTTTAGCCTATAAAAGAAAATATAAAAATTATAAAAAAACCTTTTCACATAATAGTTTGACATCTTATTCAGGAAGAGGTTTGCATTAGTATAAATGTTATATCTAATTGTCAAGATTATTTGCCTCTGGGGTTGTAATTTTAGAAGTCATTTAATTTAATTTTTGAATCAACAGGAGAATATTTAAGTATATTGAACAATTTATAAAAGAAAATTTTATATTAATATTCAGAATTACACAGAGTTATTTATTAATTCTAAATAAAAATGGCAAGGTCTAATGTAATACTTATAAATAAATATAGAAATGGAAATAATTTGTACCACAATAGTAATAAGAATAATAACCAAATGATGATGTAAAACCAGCAGCTAATAAGAAATTAATGAAATTTGCTGATACATAAGCATTTTAGGTGTCAACACATGATAATAATTATAAAGATGCAATTGATATAGAAATAAGTGAAGATCTTATTGCAATATGGCCTGTATATTTAGAAATTAGTGTGAAAGATTAAGCTATAAAATTCATTATTTAAGTAACTTAAGCAAATGTAGTAAAAACTTAAAATTAAAGGATTAGTGTATTAAAAACAATTACTGATTTATATAAAGTAGATTATGATGTAAATATGCGATTTTAAGCATATTTTAGAATTGTAAATGAATAAGAAAAGACTTATCAATTATCATTTGTTGAAATATTAGTTAAAGATAATTTTCTTTCTAGAAGAGATATGGTATAAATCAATTAAAAATTACTTAAAACTACTTGTTATACAAAAAAGAATGTTATTATCTAATATGCAGGAGATTTTCTTAAGGCTTCAATTTAAATATCTTAATTAATGATGAGAGACATAAATAATTAAGAATATGCATATACAGGAATAATAACAGAAGAAACAAATATAGTTTATAGAAGTTTAGAATCTAAGATGGCAATCTTAATTGAATTATCTTAAGAAACATTCAAAGATGATGCAATTGGAGAAATAGCATTAGAAAGCATGTAAAAATTCTTAAAAGTATATTATTTACGTAATTAATCATTAATGACTAATCATAAATTGGAAATCATTATTTATGCTAGAATATACTTTCCTTAAATAAAAACAGTAGATGATTTGTATAATTAATTGATTAATAATATAAATTAAGAATAAACATATCCACCTCATGCATAATTGGATCAATTTGGAAATGTTTGTATAGATATATATAAAAAAGTTCCAGAAAGAAAGGCTTTAAGATAATTTGATTAATTAGCTTAAACAGTAATTTAAACTATTTAAGAATTGACTGCTTGGATTAATGTAAAAACAATTAATAATTATCATTCTCTTTTTGTAAAGGATTATCTAAAGAAGAAACCTGATTTCAAATAAGTATAATCAATCAAAGGAGAATTGAGTAGTTCTAAGTATTCCAATCTATTAGAAGCTATAACTTTAGTCACTTAAAATTTTAGATTAGATCATACAACTAGATCTTTAAAGAATTCTGGTCATTTCTTATTAATTTTATCTCCTGGTAATGGATATTACTTTGGAGATTTAAAAACATATAAAATTTCAAAGAAGAATGCACTTAATAATAATATAGTATGTATGTTGAATTGTTTTGGACGTATTCCTAATATTACAGGTCCAATTTTCTATTTGAGAGAACATAATCTACCTATAGAATGTAATCCAATACCTCCATTAACATAAATATAATAATAATATTTTTAGAATACAAGTACTCATCTTAATTAAGAGAAATGTTAATATTAATATTAAGATAGAAATAAAATAGTATAAGATAATGATGATATTTAAGTATAATCATGTTTAAGACATGCATATTGGATTTAAATAATTAAATATAATGATGAATTTCTTAGATCATTTTTTATGCTATATGATAGATAAAATTAAAATGATTTACTACCATTTTGTTTTAAAAAATAGAAATATATATCATTTTCATAAGTTGATTTTACATTATTGAGTTATCAAGAATCAAAATAAAAATTAAATTAATTGGAAGATCTTTAAAAATTTGATGAAATTATCAAAAATTGTATTAAAGATCCAAAATAAGCAGATCATTAATTAAAATAATAATAGATGGGTTCTATGTTAATAGAAGAAACACCTAATCCCTATAATCCAACAGTAGATTCTGGTTAATAAGTGAATATATTTGCAACACTTTATTATGAAAAGAAACCAGAATAATAAGAATAACCGTAAACAGAGAAAAAGGTAGTTAAGAACAATTAAAAGAAGAAAATCAAATCACATAATAGAATAAAGTGGAAATTATATTAATGGGCATGGAAATCTCATTAATTTATATTTTAGATGAAGGATATTTATCATAAATTATTTAAAAACTATTTATTGAATCACATAAAAGAAGCTGAATAGAATTTATTCTAAATGGAATAAAATTGGAAAAATATTTGTTATGTTCCACTATGTCCTTTGAAATCAGTAATGGTGTATGAAGAATAAAAGATCTATAAAACAAGTGGTGAAAGACAAGTAGTAGATGGTATTGGAATAAAAGAATTTGAGGATTAAGTTATGGGAATTTTGTTATCTGAGAATTATTAATATGTTTAACCTGGAGAATAAACAGAAGATGAATATGGAAGTAAATTATAATGTTATAAGAATCAATAAAAGAGTTATCCTATGAAATTCATAAAGGGTGGACATATAATTACATTATTTTATGAATTATAGAATTACACAATTGAGGAATATAATAAGAATAATTTAAAGGCAAATACTAAGAAACATCGCTATATTCCTATTTAAAATGATTCTGCAATAATACCTTAATTATATAGATATAATCTACATGGAAATAATTCCATTACATGTAGAGAGATCTTATTTTCTGAAGGAATAGATACTCATATTAAAGGATTGATTCGTATATTCAGTGATTTAGAACAAACATCTAAATATACTGAAGATTCTATTAAAACAATGAGACCTAAAAAAATAGGTCTTGCATTTATTCCAAATGAATCTTTATAGTTAGATAAGAAATAGAGATAATTATAATATGAAAAATGGAGAGATAATTTTAATAAATTTATGGAGAAATTGAAATAATAATTTAGATGTTTTAATTCTGATGCAATTAGAATCTAACATGTTTCAAGATATAAAGAAATGTAGAAAGATCTATTTTATCAACTCAATTTAAAATATAGTACAAGTCTACCAGAATATAAATCATAATTACATAATGAGAAATATGAATAATTATGTATTACTTCTTAAGCTAATTATTGTCCTAAATGTATATACAATATTAATTTATTATGGATTTCAAGCACAGCTTTACCTATTATTAAAGTAATTGAAATTATGGAAATTTGTTCAAATGGATTTAAATAAGTATAAATACCTGGAAACATTGATAGTATTTTTTAATAACATCTTCCTTTTGAGAGTATTTACAAATTCAAAATATAAAATCAAGATAAATTGAAATCTATAAAAAGATAAGTTAGATATCCTCCATATGATTGTTTTTATGATAGATATGATACTCATCAAATATTAGTACATTGTAAAGGTTTATTTTTTTTGAAGTTTGATTTTAAAGTAATATAATTAAATAATAATAATATAGAATCTAGAAATTTTATTTAAGGAGAATTTATTATATAGTGAAGAAGCTACAAATTAAAGAGCTATCCAATAAATATTCATTAAATTAAAATAATTAATTAATGATGAGAATGAAAAATTAAAATTGTGATTTTTATTTAGTATTTATTATATATAATAATATGGACCAAATTTAGATACCAAATGGATTTAAATTAGAACCATATGCTTCAAAGGAAGGTTAAAATGGATAGATTTTTACATGTAGTAAAGATGGAAATTTGTATGCCATGAAAGTTTTTAAGAAAAACATAGAATAATATTTACATGAAGTAAATATTTGTACAACTCTTAAAACTCATGTCAATATTATAAAATTAATAGATAATTTTGAATGGGAAGGAAACAGAGTTATTATTTTAGAATATTGTTCAAAAGATTTAATTACATATCTAAATGAAAATTTACATTTATCAGAATTATAAAGATTAAATATATTTGCATAAATTGTAAGTGCATTTAAATCCATTATTGAAGACTTGAATAGTGTAGAAATGCATTTTGCACATAGAGATATCAAACCTTAAAATTTAATGTTAGGAAATGATAATATGATTAAGATAATAGATTTTGGAGAAAGTAGAATATCAGATAATGATAATCAAATTCCAACCTTAAAAAATTAAATATGTGGTACTCATGGATATATGGATCCAGTTATGGAATTTGGAGGTGATGGATTTTAAGAAAAATCAGATTTATGGTCTATGGGAGCCACATTATTCTATATTTTAACAAATTAAGGATTAAAAATAAATGCAAAAGATATTAACACAGCAGCTATGAAGATATAGGCTAATAATAAAAAATAAGATATTAAATAATTAAGAAAAGATGCAAAATTAGAAATGGTATAATAAATTATTAATTAATCATTAATTTAATTACCATTTTCAGATTAATGCAAATAATTGTTAGATAAATTATTAATGGTAGATCATAATAAAAGATATGGATGGAATTAATTATTTGAAAATGAATTAATAAAATAATTATTAGAATCTTTACCATAAGGATAAATATAATAAAAAAGTGATCGTAAAAAACCAATAAAATTATCATATTAAATGAATAAAGATTTTCTATCTATGAATTTCAAATAATAAGCAGGTCCAATATTAACTGAAACATTATATGTTATTATAAGTAAAGGAAAGTAATGTGCATCAACAGCTTTTGATATGTTTAAATACTTTAATTAAATGAAGTATATTAATGAAGATTTTATGAATAATTGGTAATATTTTGAAAAATGCAATTATTTATTACATCTTAGATCACTTATTATACTAAATCATTATAATCAAATATTTACTCTTAAAATTCATAAATCTGGATAAGAATCAATAGATTAAAAGTTATTTGAAGATTTAACTAATGGAACATAATAGAATTAATAGATATATGAAAGAATATAATTATAAGTTTATTATTTATTTGAGGATGTAAGAAAGAGTTTATAAGGTAG